TAGACAACTTTCTGAAAGTCGAGCAACAACAGCTTTCGATCCACCGCTAACTTCATCAACTGATATCAATCAGTCGTCGTTGGTGCTGTCATCCACAATGAAAAAGACGCCCATCAACTCAAGTATCTTGTGCAATGACTATGGTAGTATCAGTTCGTTTGAAAAGACGATTATCAATGGTCAGTTTAGTGAGGATAAGCCAAATGTAAACGAGAGAGTAATTGTTAAATTGACTTGCACGAATAAAGGCATTTCTAGTTTCAAGTTACTATTTGAATGCTATTATCTTTGGTGTAAATTACTCTGTTTCTACGCTTGGTTGACCAGATACTTCGTGTGTTTGTTCGTCATCTACATTCTACGATACAATGACATGAGCGTGTTGCCATTCAGATTTGAGGATATAGCTGATAGAGGGAAATCAGCAAATGAACTCTGCGATGATTTTCCAACCTAGGGCGTCAACCTGAGAAGGGTTGTAGGCGTACTGATGTAAGTCCTACAATTCTTCGAAGGGTAGCGCATCAGCGAGCAGTCCAATGTGCTTGGTGTGTGATTTTGTACATATGTTCATATTGTATATACTGAATTGATATCATCTGTCATCTAGCTGTTAGTAATTCTGATTGAATCCGGACGACTTCCACTTGGATCATCAACCTGAAAAGGAATGTAGGCGTACTGCTGTAAGTCCTACAGTTCTTCAAAGGTAGTTCGTCAAGCCAGAATCCACAACATGTGGTGTATTGATTGTACATATGTTTTTGTTAAATAATTGTGTGAGTTCCACTTATCGTAATTGTTGGTTAATCTTGTTTGTGTCCGGACATTCCACAACTTACAATCGTCAACCTGAGAAGGGTTGTAGGCGTACTGGTGTAAGTCCTGCAATTCTTCAAAGGAATTCCACCAAGACATGATCGGCGAGGTTATTTGTACTGTTTGTGTATACGTGTGGTGTCTTCTCAATTTGCGATTTAGGATTAATTGTGTTTACTCGTTGTTTTCGTGTCTTGTTGTTATTGCGTAATTTTGTTAAAATTTTCGTCGTGATTATTTCTGAAGTTGTTTCGAGTCTTCTACATCCGTGAATGAATTGATTGATGTTAGAGACAGCAGATGGGTCGTATACGCCGGGGAGGCTAGGCTATTGCTGAGAATGAAATGCACACGGAGATAATTGTTAGCTGTGGTCTCACACGCCGGGGGGAAAGAGTGTAAACGACTGAGGCTCGCATGCGTCACTGCTACTAGAACTGAGGCAGAATGAGTGACAAGCGATTGCAGTGGTAATTGGTAGTGAGTAGATAAGAGGATGTGCGTAGAGTATCATGAGTTGGTGCTATGGTCACGTTGCATTCTGCAAGAGTCATTCTAGCAAGTGGTGATTGTGTTGCAAGAGGATGCTTTTAACTGGAAGGCGCAGGCCATCATTGATGTGTGAGATTGTACTGTGAGTATGCTTGTGGTGTGTTGGCTTTTCTGTTTGTTTTCCATTTCAGCTCTGTTCGTGTGACCCAGGTTCTCGCAATGGCATCCGAGTCAACGTGCATTGGTCGTGATGGAAAAAAGGGTTGGATCCCTTTTTTGCCGGGGAGTGTCAATGTAGTTGAAGATTGAACGATCAATTCTTGGTTGTTTGCTTAAAATCAACTTCCCCAATTTTTGCGGAGGCATCAATACGACAGTCATCGTCTCATCGGTCGCTGTTCAGAAAGAAGTCAGCAATAAACCGTCAGAAGTAATATTGTGATTTATTATCGTAATATTTGTTCACAGACCTTAGTGGAATTATTTTTTATATGTTGGTGTTACAATAAAGAATTCTCGAGCGGCCAACCGGTGTTTTGGATTTTGCGTCCGTTATTTCTAAGCGTTTCTGAAAAACATCAAGGAACAGCGTGAGCCCGAGCGTAGCAAGAGCTGGGCATTAACGGTTTACGAAACGTGGCTGTCAAGATTAAAACATTCCCTGTCCCTAAACCTGGCATTTGCAATAACGTAAAGTTCCGACCCATCGCCCTCACTTCCCCGTTTCTAAATCTCATGTAAAAACTAGTGCTTCTTAAACTTGAGCCTTCCCTTAAAATCTTCGGAGACTTTAACAATTTGCCTATAGACAGGGTAGGACTACTCCAGACGCTGCAGCCGTCTCACACAACAGTATTGTCTCATCATTAGACAAAGGTGCCAAATATGTCCGCTGCACGTTTCTTGACTTCACTTCTGATTTTGACTCTGTACCTAGATTTCTCTTGCTAAGTAAGCTCTCCATGACACACACCGAGTCCTGGGTCACTAACTGGTTGCATTCTTACTTTTTCAGACAGAATGCAGTACACCGTATACAAAGGCAAATCCTCCTCTGCTGTGCTCACTGAAGCTGCTGTCCCCCAAGGGGCTGTACTTCCACCGCCTCTGTTTTATTTCTTTCTACATGACCTACCACCTTCAAATGACATTAACTTTGTCAAATATGCTGATGACCTAACTGTATCTGTCAAATGTCAAAGTGACTGCTCTAAACTAAACGGCTTTTTATCAGAAGTCATCCAATGGTCCAAGGAAAACGGTCTCAACTTAAACCCCTCAAAATGCCAAACAGTCAATTTCACCTTTAGGCACAAATCTGACCTAAACAAACTGGTTAGCACTCACGAGGTGTGCAACATAGATGGCACTGAAATTAAAACCAAGTCGGAAGTTAAATACCTAGGCGTCACTCTATCTTCTGATCTTTCCTGGTCGTCTCATATCTTGACGATTTCCAAGAAAATATTCCGTCTTACCTTCTACAAGAAGTTAAGACTTTCTGGTGTAACCCAACCCTTACTCCGACAATTTGTTAACTCCCGTATTCTGCCTATTATTCTCTATTGTTCCCCCTTAGTCTTTCCTGGGCTATTGAAGCAAGACTATACCTTATTACGTAGGATGTTAAAGGTTGTCAGCAGGGTAAGCAGTTTGCCACTTAGCCAGCTCGTTAATATTCTGGTGGACAGGCATATGGACTCATGTGAAAAATGGGCAAAAACCATTTTATCTGACTCACAACACCCTCTACATTCACAACTCTCCCCATGTATCTCTTCAGGGAAAACCAGAAGCCTATATAGGAAACTATATGCCCGCACTAGCAAGTACAAAAACTCATCCATACCCTACCTAGCTCGTGTTCTGTGCGATAAAGAAAGCATTAGGCGTGAAACCTTTAACTTATTAAATAGTCAGTAGAACCAATGGATCTCGTCTTTCCAACTCACATCATTTACAGGTACAACGTTTTCCCTCTACCTTTTTTTATGTGTTGTTATGTTTATCTTTTCCCTGCAACTCTACTTGAAACATTCCTGTTCGATCTTTCACACTCTGTATACCTCAACCATTTTGCTATGGCTTACGCCAGTAAATATGCTAGTAGTATCTACTTCTCTAACACCTTCAAACACTCTTTTAGAGGTTGACGGATATCTCGTTCAGCAGCTTCTAATTAATTTATTCTCGCGTACCAAAAACAAAACAAAAGCCAATATTTGATCGTCCAAACCAAGAGATATATTTCGGCACCAAAACAAGCCTTCAGACGAACGCCTAGCTAGCTAGAGATCGTGCACGTGTAACGACGTGGTAACAAATGGCGGGGATGCTTGACTGTAAGCCTTCAGCTAAACAAGTCGACTTAAACAGTGGTGGTCAGCATCCAATGAGTGATTGCTGTGGTCAATAATTTTGGGAAATTATTTACCACTACACTCTGTTTAAAATTTTTGCTTTGCTACCGAAATGCTAACATGTTGTTGTCAAAACTGACTGAGATAACCTTTATCTATGTAGAACTATATTTATTGTTAATGTACTAACTGGTAGCAATATTGTAGTAAAATCCTGAGAATTCCATTCTGTATCACAAGTACTGATTTGGAATAAAGCTTACCTTATCTTATCTTAAAATTTACGGATAGAGTCAAGCCCGGTGAGGTATAATTGAAAACAATATCGTTTGCTGAAATGTGCTGTTCTAAATTGGTCATTGAGAAAGTATTTGTAATTTAAAGTCTAAGACAAACATGCAACTAAAGTGAAGTTTTATATACACCCGTCGGCTGGACTTATACGTCATGTTGGTCAAATTTCGCTCGGTAAATTGTTTTGTCAATAATTTTCAAGAAAATTTTGGTATATGTCTTCTGAATCGATAGGAATTCTCATTTCCTGGCTAGTTATGTGTAGGGGACTTATACTAGAGTTCACTAACATTATAAATATAAGAATAATAATCCTAGTCAATGGAGTGCTAAATAACAATATATAACCAAAAAATGCAGTGACGAGTTGTATCAACAAAAAGGATTACTTGGATATCAAGTCTAAGTCCTCTGCTACAAATTATGTATATAATCCACGGGTACGTTATTTGATTGTGTTGCGTCTGCTGTAGCTGCTGTGTTCCGGTTGTAGAAATGTCTTCGGTTGAGAGTAGTAGACTCCTACAATAAATCCGAAGTATACAACACGGTGTGAGTTGAGCAAGTGAGCAGAAGTGACCAGGGAGAAGACGAAGTCTCCAACAGCAGAGTGTGTTTTTCAATTGTACACGGAAGTTATGTATATTTCAACAAGAAGCGTTTGAAACAAAGATTATGTACAATATCTCGAATTTATACAAATAACCAAAAAGTGTACAATCACATTGTTACGTGCTCCACATTTGTTTTGGTGTCCGCGTCATGTAATCTCACTGCCATACACTCTAAGCGTATGGGTTGTAGCGATTAGTTCTTCATGCTGAATGAGTTAAAACATCGGTATAATGAAAAAGATGGGTTAGTTAGGGAGTAGTGTCTTCTGAACAAATAGTTTATTTCTTGTAGAAGCTGCAACTTTCGACATAATATCACTCAATGAAGACCACGTCTAAATGTGGCTATTTTCATGTGAAGAACAGTACTATTTGGCAAAAGAATGCTACCAATACATAGGATATTGATATTGGATTCAATGGCAAAAATAGCGCGTTGGTTAAACTTCAAGGTCGATGCAATTTTGCTGTTTAGCAGATGTTACGATTACGAGTCCCAGTTTTGTCGATATGCAGATGTTCGATTTCTGGGTACATGGGAAGACTGGTAAGTTATTAAGTCATCGTATTTTCAGTGTTCAGTCAGTAGAGAATTTATACTTCGATATGAGAAGCGACAAAAGCAGTGTAATAAAATAATTTTCATGATAACTTAAAAAAGTGATACGGATGAAATTTGCTTCTAAGTTGGTGAATAGCTTTGATATTTCAGATATCATAATAACAAGTGATTTAAGCCAACGACTAGCATGCGTTTGAGGTCATTGGGGAGTTCCTATATCCTATATCCTGATGACGAGCTAGTATAAACCAGTGATTTCTTTGAGCTCGCTTCTTGATTGTGAGGTAGAGGTTCCAGATCTTCGGTGAGCTTCTGCGTAGTAAGTCCCGACACTCGACTGCTTTAGCTCTGGTAGACTCCAGGAGGAGTGGTGCGGGGATTGGTCGAGATGTGGTTTGTAGTATGCAGTATGTTAGGACTGTATTACTTACTTACTTTACTTTACTTCGGCTATCTCCTACGGGAGGATGAGCCGGCTTCATGAACGTCTCGAATCATCGCTGCCCAGGCGCGGCAATTTGTAAGAGAGTTCATGAAGTTTCATGGGAATTTGGTACGAGTGATGTCCCCAGCATCGCTCGGCCTTTTGTTTGAGAGTGCAGCTCTAGCCTTTACACAACCAAGTGTGACCTACAAGGCAGTAGGAGTGGAGTAAGGAGTCCACTATCCATTGGCAGCCGATGACCGGAGTTCGGTTCATACGCCTTTTTGAATGGGGCCAGACATCCAGGAAAACCAACAAGCCCTTTGTCCATACGTCTGCCGGTGAGCTCCAGTGAGCTTCATACGCTAATCGTTGGAGGTTTGGAATCAGGGTTTAGCCATCTCCCCTAGACTGTCATCCAATGGACAGTCAACCCGGTGGAGAGCGCCGGGCATCCGCTTTCGCCCTCTCACTTTGGTGAGAAACACCTCCGCCACGTGAAGGCAGTGAGTAGGACTTCCTCAGGAGAGGCTAAGTAAGACGCCCGGTCATATGGGAGCATTTCAAGAGGTGTGCGGAGGGGTGGCCAACCCGCAGCGCAAGGCACCCACCCCCGACCATCCTGAGGCTTTGGAGGCTGCCGTGAATGGAGTTTGACCTAACTCCCCTTGGTCATTCGGTGTAGTCATAAAAGCAGAATAGTAATAATAATAATAGGTTGTAGTGTAGATAATATAGGTTGAGATAAGTGGAATAATAAAGGTGACCTAAGGAAAAGATAGAGTGAGAGAAGGCAGAATAGGTCGTGGGGATTTAGTTAGTACGCTTATTCATTGACAGTTTGGTTTCAAATTTTATGAGGATAAGCCATTGAGACACAAACCTTGCATTTCTGCATGATTGTCTAGCTTCCGCTTAAAAATCTCCAGAGATGGCGCTGTAGTCACGGCCGCCGGTAAAGCGTTCCAGAGACGGCAAACACGAAGCGAAAAGAAATGTGATCGCACTCGAGTCTTTGGTCTCTGGTGTGCTATCCTTAGCGGGTTACCTCGTGGAAGCCTATAATCGCTTAATGGCAGGATGCTTTTATTTGGGTGGGCCTGGTCATTTAGGATCTTGTAGACGGTGATGAGGTCTCCCCTGTGCCTACGGTAACTGAGTGTGAAAAGACCTAATTTCTTTAGTCTTTCCTCATATGATTTGTTGCGGAGGCCGATCACCCATTTTGTCGCTCGTCTCTGGACACTTTCTAGAATGTTAGCATCCCTTTTGAGTAGCGGAGGTGCAATGATATTATGCACCTCAAGGTGTGGCCTCACATATGCCTTGTATAGCCTTAAGAACAGTTCGGGAGTGAGAGCTCCCAGCTGCCTGTGCATAAAGTGTAATGTTGCGTAGGCTTTGGCGACGTCCCTCGAGTAATTTCCACTGGTGTCTAGCTTTTCTGTTAGAATAAGACCTAGATCACGCTCTGATGGAACACAACTCAAGTTCTGGCCACCAAGGGTGTAATTTACACTCTGTGACCTGCCGGAATGAAGCTGCACTACTTTGCACTTCTTTAGATTGAAAGGCATTCCGTTAGCCAAAGCCCAATTTCCCAGAGTTTGCAGGTCAGCCTGCAATCTATCTGAGTCTTCCGATGAGTTTATTGCTCTCCAAATCTTTACGTCGTCAGCGTAAAGAAGCGCAGAGCAGTTTAGTTGGGGGGCAGGTCATTGATAAAAATCAAAAACATCAACGGCCCTAGGATAGAACCCTGAGGAACCCCTGATGCCGAGGTGTGCCAGGATGATCGGATGCGGTTGACTTTGGTGCAGAATTCTCTCTCGCCTAAGTAATCTGTCAGCCATGCGAGAAGTGCTCCAGAAACTCCCGCCTTGCCTATTTTGTGAAGGAGCAGACCATGGTGAACTGTGTCGAATGCTTTCGCAAAGTCGAGAAAGATCACGTGGGCTGGTACCTTTTTGTCCCAGGATAGTGTCCAATCGTTCCAGGCTAGTAGAAGATTCGTCACGCAGGATCTTCCCCTCCTGAAACCGTGCTGTGCTTCGTGAAGAAGGTTAGTCCCATCGAAGTATTTTCTCATGTGGTCGTCAATGAGACTTTCCAATATCTTCGATACCACTGGAAGTAGAGCAACTGGTCTGTAACTGGTCACATTCTGCCGGTCACCACCCTTGAAGATAGGGGATAGGATTGCACGTTTCCATTCACATGGAAGTTTCCCTACATCAAGGGAGTGTTGGAACAGATCACTTAGGGGTTGACAGAGACTTTCTGAACACTGCTTCAGGACAGATGGTCTGATGCCATCACAACCTGGAGACTTTCCCGAAGCCAACCTTCCCAATTTTGCAAGTACCATAGCCGGGGTAATTTGAAATGTCCCCAGCAGGTTTTCGTGTGTTGGTTTTGCGATGTAATCTGGATGTTCTGTAGGGGTAATATCCTCGTTACTATTTAGTTGCCTGTGAAAGGCTAGGCTGAATGTCTCTGCCATTTCAAGACTAGTAAGAGATTTCCCATCAGAACCCACTAGATTGCATGCTCCCTGGTTGGTCGGTTTTCTTTCGGCCATAAACCTGTATAGGCTTTTGGGGTTCACGAGAAGCTTATTGGCGAGGTCTCCCTGAAATGTCCTTCTATCGCTCCGGACTCGTATGTTACATCGATTCCTGAGTTCAAGGTACACTTCATATTCGGGTTGACTCTTCGATCGTCGCCACGCGAACCAGGCTTTTCGCTTTGCCTGCAGAAGGCGTTGTGTCCCCCTTTTCAGCCATGATCGTTGCTTCCTAGCTTTTGGTGAGACTAAAGGAACAGTGTCTGAGACCGCCTGGTGAATGATCTCCTTTACCACTCTCCAGTGTTCTTCTACTGTTAGCTCTGTCCATTTTTTAGGCCAGTTTGCTTCAGACAGAAGTCTTCGCATTTTGGTGTAGTTGGCTTTGTTATAACACAGATAGGGCTGTGTATTGTCCCACTGTAAGCGCTCGCGGAGGACTATGTCGAATACTATGACCGCGTGGTCACTACTACCTATGGGAGTCGTGATCTGAACGTTTTCCACTAGTAGCTGGTCACTAGTGAGCACGTAATCCAGTCTAGAAGACTTCCCATCAGGGCCCCATCTAGTATCCATCTTGACATTTTCAGTGAATCCAGCCTTCCTGATGGTATGCAGCAGATTTCGATCAAATCTATCATGGGCTTTTCCCGACACCAAGTTAAGAGATGGGGCATTGAAGTCACCAGCTATGACAATTTGATCATAACCCATGTCTTGAGTTGCTGAAATTGTATTTAGCAGTACCTGGTTGTGGTCTGCTCCACATGAAGGTGATCGATAAATGCTGCCCACTAGATATTTGCAGTACCCAACGGTGAAGTGGCACCATATGGAGTCAGGGAGCTCTGTGAGGGGAGGGTCCGTCGCGTGAACACATCTGAGCTGTTTGTCGACGTATATGGCGACTCCACCTCCTTCTTTCAGGTCCCTATCTCGCCTGACTAGGACCATATCATTTATACTGACTTCGCTGTCTGCCACCGTAGGGGTTAGCCAGGTTTCCGTCAGTATTATGATTTTGGAGTTTAGTTGTGATTGTAGGTGTCTAAGTTCAGCTATTTTGCCTCTTAGCCCTCTCACATTACTATACAGGCAACTGGTAGTCAGTCTCACCACTTCCCCGTATTGGGGGGTAGTTGACTTGATATTGGCTATCGGTTGAGGAGTTATCCTACGAACTAGTTGGCCGATTCCCCAGGAACCGGCCTGTTGGCGTTTTTTTCTTCTAGTTCAGTTGGAGCACTCGGATGACACTGGCTATCATCGTCCGTGCTGCACCGCTGTAGTGTGACTAGGGGTTGAGGATTTTCTTTTACTACGCTTTGTTCTCTCCTTTGAGTGCGAGGCCGGCTCTCGCAGCAGCGAATGTGTTTGCTGACCTTGTCCTTGGTCTCGTACCATCTATGGAGAGCGGTATTCAACTGGTCTTGGGAGCTGAACTTGACAGCTAACAGACGTGGCGAGTTAATTGACATAAGATGAGTGGGTCGAGGCAGTCTATAAATAGAGACAGCCCCTGAACTTCCCAGGGCCATCTGGGATGCTAACCATCTCCATTGTTGTACATCATGACAATGCTTTTCGCAGGCGTTCCCAGTTACCAGTTCGGGAATGCCATGCACAACCATGGAGGCAGAAGGAATGAGCTCTGGCGACTCCCTCGCCATTTGTCTTTCCTTCCACGGCCTGTCTGGCTTAACACGTATGTTACAGGCCCTCCCTATAGAAAGGACTTGAGAAGCCAGTAACACTTTTTCAACATCCTCGGTAGAGCTCAATGTTACCCTCAGTGGGGATGGTTTGCCTTCAGGTGCAGCAGTGCCCCTATACAATCTGCATAGATTTACTGGTTGGATGTCCAAACCCAGTGTGCTACTTAAGATGGACCACTGTTCCTGATCAAATAGGGCCCTATCTTTCAGCAGACTACTGCTACAGTCTGGTACATTAAAGAGGATTACACAATTTGATCTGCTAACCGTGGGCTTG